GATATTTGAACAATCAAATAGGACCTTTTTTAATATTACTTAATTCAACAACTTCTATTTAGAAAACTTCTTTTGAACCTAAAAATAGAAAATTTTCCGATAACTGCCATTTACAGGCTCAACATAGGAGTTCAATTTATTAGAACCTGTTATAAATCTCTAGAGTCTACATACGTCCTAATTATAAATCTTTAGAGTCTTACATACGTCCTAAAACTAAAATTCGAAGTATAGGAGCAAAATTTCAACTCGGGTTATCTATTATGAGTTAAATATGATTATAACGAATTTTTCTTTAAATTTTAGGAATGATTATTAGCGAGAGAGAGAGAAATACATTTTAGTTGTCGTAACTGACAGTTGAGCGTAATTGCTCAACTGTCAAATTAAATAAAACTAAAAATGTGAATTTCTCGTTTAAAGTTTTATTGAATTTGACAGTTTTATCGAATTTGAGTGAAATTGACAATCAAGATGTGTTCACTAATAATCATTTTTTAAATTAAAACTAATTAATTATAATTTTTTGTTAACTTATAATATAATAAATAAAATCAATATTATTTTTGCTAATTAGTAAGATGTAACATCCATTCGACTATGGTACAATAAATACATAATTCGACTATGGTACAATAAATACATAATTCGAAATGTGGTTTAATTAAATTATTTAGAATACGGTTGAGTCACAATAAATGATGACATTTCCTTCTTATAAATATATGTGTGTATTTACAAATATTGAAATAATTATTAGATGTATTATACGAATTGTTAATCCATTTTCTTTACAAACTGGATTGATTTATACCAATAAACGAGTAACTAGTTGATCTTTGACTAACACTGTATCAGAAATATCAGAAAAAATAGATTTGGCTCTGGTATCTAGAACACCTATTGTTTGCCTATATTGCTCTCACTCTCATCTCATTTTACGTAAACGTGCGTGTCCCTGGCGTACCGTTATCCCCCGCTGGCAACGTGCCGCGCTGGACCTGACGGATCTTAATCTTATGAAAGAACGAAGCGACCTAAAAAAAGAATGCGCCGGAAGAAAGTCGTCGTTTTCAACGGGGTTACTTACCTCCGACAATTTATCGTCGGTCGATTCGACTTGTTCAGCTATTAGGAGTAGACGCGTGATCGCGCGGGATTTATGTTGGTCGCTGTGATCGTCCGGCTGTTACATTTTTACGAGTCTTCGTAACGACGCGGCAGCGGTAGATTTAACGAGGTCGACAGAGGATCGTAACCTAGGAAATTCGAGGTCCGTAAAGAATTTGATTCGATCAAGATCAGGTCGCGAACTTCCACTAGCACAGAGCTTCTTGTCGACCATGCGATTCTTCGTTTTTTCGTTTTTTCATGCGCGACACGCGTCTCATCTACAAAACCGGGGCTAAGCCAACTTGTTGCTTCTGTGAACTTAGCATTTTTCATTACTGTGATTTTTCTTTGATAAAAGCGTGTGAATAATGGAATGACAAATTTCCAATGATACGAGATTAGGAAAGAATAGAGTTAATTAAATAATTGGATCCACTGCTAAACAAATTTAAACGTATATTTTTACTTCTCTTTTTTTATATTTTGCAAAAAGAAAAGAACAGGAAATATCAAAATCTTTACAATTATTTTTAGAAAAAACCAAAAAGTTTTGCCATTTATTTTTTGTATCAACATAATAAAAAATATATATAGAGAAGAAGATGATATTATGGCCAGTGTATATATTGTGGCCTCCCTTAATATCTATTATATAGCGAATCCTAATGATTACTTATGGAATTATTAGTTCAGTAACTCGCTGTTACACCATGACGCTAAAATATTACCAATACTCAATAGCTAGCACTTATTATAACGCATTTTTACTTTCAAGTATTTCGAAACGTTTCTGAGGTACACTTTAGCATTTAATTACACCTACTTCTTCATTTTTCTTAAACTTGAGCGTATTATCACATGAATATACATATGTACTTTTGAGTGTGTTATTTGCTATTTAACATTTTATTTGACTGCACATATTTTGAGTTATGTAAATTTAAACAATACCATAGCATTTTGCTAATGTGGCCTTTTATCGATATTGATTACTCACGATCTCTTTTTTGAGGTTTTCATATCAAAATAATTATTTGATAATCAATTATAGCTCTACTGTTAAT